GGGCAGCTTCCGCTTGCCCTTCACGTCCTCGCCGGCGGCGGCCGCGTCGTCCAGGTCGTAGAGCATCGCCGGGTCGGACGGCAGCGGCAGCGCGCGCTTCCTCCAGGCGGCGGCGGTCACGGCCGCGATCTGCGTCAGCGGGCTCCCCGCCAGCTTCTTGAACCGGTACCTGGGGGTGCCGGCGAGGAAGACGCCGAGGCCGGCGAGGATGGCCACCACGCAGGCGCCGTAGCCCCACCGCCGGCCCACGTTGTCCTGCACGTACACCAGCACCGTGACGGCGAGGAGCGACCCCAGGCTGATGAAGAAGAAGAACCAGCCGAAGAAGCGCGCCATGCGGCGCCGCTCCCCGGCATGGGACTCGTCGAACTGGTCCGACCCGAACCCCGACACGCTCGACTTGAGCCCGCCGGTCCCCAGCGCCGTCAGGTAGAGGCCCAGGTAGAGCACGCCGAGCTGCGCGCCGGTAGGCGGCGCGCAGCCGGGGGCGCTGCCGTCGCCCGTCGGGTCCTCGCAGGGCGCCGGGCGCAGCCCCGGCGCCGCCGTGGAGACGGTGAGCACGGCCATGCCGGCGACCTGCACGGCCGTGGAGATGGCGATGGTGAGGTAGCGGCCGAGGTAGGTGTCGGCGACGAAGCCGCCCAGGAGGCAGAGCAGGAAGGAGGTGCCGAGGAAGTTGGTGACGGCGTTGGCGGAGGCGGCGTTGCCCAGGTGCATGGCGGCCGTGAGGTAGGTGACGAGGTTCACGGCGATGCCCAGCGTGGTGAGCCGCTCGTTGAGCTCCACGCCCAGGATCATGGCCGCGCTGGACCAGCCCCCGGAGCTGGCGCGCACGGCCGGCCGGCCGCGGTAGTCCCACGCGTCGCCCAGGGCCTTGCTGGTGTCGCCGCCGCCGTCCTCCGCTGCGGCCTGTGCCGTGGTCTCCGGGAGCGGCGCCATGGTGGATGTCAGTGGATTGGTGGGCCAGTACGTGAGCAAGCTGCCTTGCTCACTCACTTCATTTATATATATGCAGCCACTCAAGCTCAAGCCGAAGAAGTATACTCCTCCGGTTTATCACACAAACTCCTGCGATTTCAATTAACTGTCAATTTATTTAAGTGTTGTGTATCAAACAGGACAAACAAAGCCAGTACTGTACTACAAGATTGAACATCAAAGTTAATTGGGGCGGTCACTCCAATACATACATACAATAAAGGACAAGAAATAGTACTCCTACACTGCTAATCTTGTCGAAACGAAGTATATTTGATTGGATATACGTACTTAGTACACCTGGGTCGGACTTGTGCTTGTCTTCTGTTTGCTGAACTATTAGTTGGTTGAACTGGTCGGGCCGTCTTGTATTTCCATTCCTTCTTTTAATACTCCCACTGTAAAAGAATATAAGAGCGTTAAGATTACTACTCTTATATTTTTTACGGAGGAAATATAAAACAAGTAGCTCTCCTGTACCGTTTTAAAAGAAACATCGAATCTTTTCTACTTTATCTTGAGTTTTTGGCGAATTTTAACGTGGTCCCTCTTACCTCTTCTTTTCATATGAGAGGTAAGAAGGTAAGAGTTACATCTTTTTTTTCTGTTTGGTAGTTGACTGAAAACGATTCCAACACCGTTTAATTTTCACACAAAAGAAGATAAGGGGCAGAGCGCCGAGCCGACAGGGATGCCGTGGCTGGCCGCGACAACTTTGTTGAGGATCGGCAGGATAAGATTTTAGGGAGG